GAAGACAAACGTCTTTCGTTCATAGCAATATTTGTCTCAGTTATTAGTGAATGACAAGAGTGTTTTGCTTACGACTGGAGCTCAAGTAAAATTTCGGAGAAAATTCTAATTTACCGTAACGACCAAGAACAAATGACAGACTGTTCGGTCAACGGACCGACGACGAAGACAACATTATTCAATTTATTTCAACGAATAATGATGGTATTTCTTAAGCGAAATTAGATGGCTCAGGAGTCGAGATGCCAAAAGGCCTACTACTACTACAGTATGCGATTGAAAGTAAAAAATTATAGTAATTTTTGAATAATTAACAAAACTGTAAAGTCGTAGCGAAAATGAAAAGAATTTTATTCATTTACGTATATATTATATGGTTATTTTAAAGGTAACAGTGAAATGTTTACAGTTATCAGTAACTTTATTTAAAAATTCCAAAAAAATGTTTTGCGAATCTTATGAAATAAACCATGAAATGCCAGAATTAAAAAAAACAAAATACAACGTGTAATTATACAACACGCTACTGAAGTGAAACTTCTTCAAACACACAAAAATAACGGGATAGGGGTTAGGGAATTGGTTTAATGGTATTATTTGTACACTATTCTTCGCACGGGTGCAGTACTGATAGTAAATATACTATAGAATGTCTTTATATACAACAATCACAGCTTTTTTGTCATTAGACAATACAAACCGGCCGGTACCGCCGCAAGCGCTATGTCCCTGCATTTTAAGTCTGTAATATCTTCGAAAATATTCATTTAAATTACATGCTGTAAAGGGCCATATTGATCTATATTAAATGCACAATGTGTTTAAAAACACTTATTTGGATAAGGATTAATGCTGTATTGCTTAAAATCGCTTCGTAAATAAGCCATTATTTGTCGTAAAAAGTAAAGGATAAAAAATGGTTATTGTGGGTTATCCCTGAGAGATACACATATACAATCACGGATTTTTTTGTATACCCTTTTAAGGTGTACAATACTGTAGTATATTATTTTGATCTATCTCGTAGAGTTCAGGATGCAATGTAAGCGCAAAAAAATGTAATTATTTACGACATCCAATTACAAACCTCTAAAATTATCAGTGTTTCTCTACTATATTACGCATCTATTATACACATAAACCTTCCTCTTGAATTACTCTATCTATTAAAAAAAACGCATTAAAATCCGTTGCGTAGTTTTAAAGATCTAAGCATACATAGCGACAGACAGCGGAGGAAATGCGTTGCATGATTTCGTTACATAGCAACTCGCATGAAACAAACTTACCCTACCGCGCGTAAAGAAGTTTCACTTCAAAAATTTAGATATGTAGTATTAATTTTTTTATGTTTGATGCTTGTATTTCACAACGTTTGGACATTGGACCAGCTGAAACATGTGCCAATTAACTTCTTTGTTATATTCAGAGGCAAATTTCCTAATTCGATCTTTCTTACACATTTTTTATAATATTAAATTAATCCAAGTCATAGAGGTCTTGGGAGGAACATTTCACCAACCTCCCCCCCACCATTCAATGCGTCACTAGTTCACCCTTAGTGCACTGTAGCTGTATTTGTGTCAGAATTATGATTCTGATGAGCTTTTCTTAGAGTTTCGTTATCATTCGAATGACACATCTCACTCGACTTTATTTGAAATTTTTAAATTTACATTCTTTGTGTCAACCCTTTAGAATGTGATTTTCGTAAAATACGTTCTTATTGTTTGTCCCTAATGTTGCCAAAATTTCATTCAAATCGACTCAATAGTTTCTGCTGTGTGTTCATCATTAGTCAGTCTGTCAGGATGTCATGAAGGACAAATAGCTCCTTTATACGCATAGGTATAGAGATAAGTGAATAATTTTAAATTAACATTTATTTTACATATGATTATTTTAATAGTACCTACATTTTAATCAATTAAAATTAGGATTAATTATAAAAGAAATGTTCCGGACCAACATCCACTCACAGGATCAAAGGAACCACAAATCTTCATTTGTAATTTATCAACTAATAGAGTGACTAATAAGATCAATATATTCCCAGTAAACAGCTGCAGCTATCATTTCTCCCCTAAATTAGCGAGTGTCAGTTAAAATTGCATTTCAATTGGATACCGAATTTAATGCAGCACGGTTGGGGTCAGACAGGTCACACATTTGCAATTTCTAGTTTTCGTTTATTGAACCGTATATCATTTCAGTCTGCTCAGCCTACTCAGCTGGCATCTGTTTGTGTGTCCGTATGCCATGGGATGCATCTTCCATACTTTAGGTTTAGGACATATTTATGGATGGTTTTAATCATATTTTGCATTTTGGGGAGTCGTGTCTCGGAATGCGAATTATCCTCCAGAGCACAGATATCCTACCTGCTTCCATTAAACAGCGTTCCGTGAATAAGTACATACGGCGTGTGATCGCCATCTATAGAACATTACTACATATTACAATATGAAACAATTTTCTGCAGATGGTGTTCACGCGCTGTATGTACTTATTCACCGAACGTTGTTTAATGGAAGCAGGTACGATGTCTGTGGTCTGGAGGAACTGTGTACGGCGTGCTGATGATACACATAAAAATCATTTACATAACTACACCGTTGCGGAGATTTTGAAAAATAGACGTACAAACAAAAAACAATGTTGAAGTATCGTTGGTCCAAAATGTATCTTATTAACCCCAGTTCTTTTAATATTACCCCAGTCCTTTTAATATTGCGATCCGTCAAATGGGAGGAGGCTAAAAACAGGGCGCCGATTAGGGAAAATTTATCGTAGTTCCTATAGTATACCGTGCAATTTCCAAGTTTTTAAATTACGATAAAATGATAAGTATTGACACAATATGTGATTGGGCTGACACAAAGCCTCGGAGATGAAATTTCGTTGAAGGTGAGCGCGTTTTTAATGCCAATCACATTCTAAAATTCGGAAATAACAAATCCGGAAGCTAGCCTTCAAATTCCGTCAAGTTTACTGTCTACTTTTTACAAACTTTGGATTTAAAAAGTGATTCACGTTATATAATTGGTGAGGTGATTCTGGGTGATTTAAGCAATATCATATCAATGACTTGCACGTGCAAAGCCGATTTAAGAGAACGTTGCAAACACATTATTGCAACTTTGTTGTATTGCAGCAGGTAGGTTCTTAACCTCAAAATACTTATATCGTATCATTAGAATTGTGTTAAATCAATTACACAGGAATAAATAATTTCTCACTTTATAATTTTAGTATGATTCTAGTTTTAAATATTAAGGTTATGGCTGATGGTAAATACTTGCTGAAATATAATCATGTGCATTAAAATGACGTGAACAAATTTTTATTCCGGAATTCACTTCTTTGATACCTACTGCTTTCATCCAAGCTTCTATTAGTTTACTTTTTTCTCTAATTTTCCGAATATATTTTTTACATATATAAAACGGTTAGTTTTTATTGGAAAGTAGTTAATGTAGGTGAAGAGTGAAGATCTATGTCTAAAGTGCTATTGCAGCTTTTCACTGAACATATTAACTTTTTATTTGATTTAACTTTAGAAGAAAACTACGTCGACACTATCATCAAGAAAATGTTTACTTTTTTAACGTGTTTTATTATTTTAATAAACAATTTTACAAATTGCGTGCACAGTTCCTATATAAATTTTTCCCTCATTCGAGTTATAAATTTTGCCACCAGATGGTGTATGCCCATTTGACGGATCCCAATTCATATTGTAGAATTATTTATAAAAATAGTTATAATGGCTTTCTGTTGTTTGTAAAATTATAACATTTTTGTTACATTTAATACTTCTACAAAAAAGTCATTTTCTTTTTGTTTAATTGCCTCATTATTTCACCCTAGAACCTTTCGTCATTATTTCGCCATTATTTGTTTTTTTATGTACATAAACCCTCACCTTATGGGAGCTCTTATTACATCTTAACCATAACCTCCCAATCTACATTATAACGAACCCTAACGTGAAGTGATGGCAATAAGTTTCAGGGGGTATACTGTTACATTTTTTATAACGTCGTAATTTAATGTTACTGGTAGAGAGGTATATTTAAAATATTCTTAATCACTTATAGAGGGAAAGAACATTTAAAAAGTATTGTTCCATTAAATATCAGGAATTGTGTATACAAATACTATTATAAATTAACATTATATTGGAATATCAGATCTACCAATAATGTAAAAAGTTATTGCAAAAAAATCACTTTTAAGTTAATCTTGATTTTCGCAAAAGAAAAGTAACTAAGTATATTTAACGATAGATTTTAATTTCCAATAAATTTATTTTGGTTTACTGTTGAAACAGGGAATGCATCAACTTTACTACAGGATGCGCATAACATCTTGATGAATGAAAGGTTTATTGTAGAAATCTTTTACTAGCGATACCAAACGAATTGATTTATAGTTTATTGTTGCCAATAACTTTTCAAAAGAGAACGCTCTACGAAGTTGTACTAAAAGAAACATTGTAAAGAAGACTGTAAAAGCCAATTATACTTAGATATTTAAAAGATGGAAATTAATAGAAGTAGGACGTACTAGCAAATGAGAATGTAATAATTAAGGAGAAGCAGACAGTAATTTATGCTAACTCTGAAGGAATAGGCTAGAACATATATAGTACAATACAGTGGCTCAAAACAAAGACAATAATATTTTTGTTGATCATGCATGTAAATATATAAATCTAACAAGATAAAAATAATGCACGGATATCTTACAAACGGATTCGAAATTTTAGTTAGTGATAATAAAAAAAAGGTCTACACTGAAAATTCGATGTGTGTTCAATAAATTGAGGGCCAAGAACTTAAAGTTATGTACATTATGTACCTATGAAGAATTTTAAGTGATTGTCAAAAAAGAAGCAAATTATTATGAATAAGACGTCTAATATTGTACATATAAAGAAATTATCAAACATTTATAACAAGCATTTGAAATAAAAAGATTTGATATGTTGTACTTACCAATAAACGTCAACCAGTTCTCGTTTTGGAATTTGCCTAAAACAAAAAAAAGCAAAGTAATAACAAATAAGTTTCAAAACTAATTTTGACAAACTAAAATACAAGATGCTCCAGTAAAAGCTGCTTTTCCTTACTACATTACATAAAAAGCTCGAAAAAACTCTGAAAATAATAAGATTTATATTTAAAAATATCTACCATAAAAATTTTCAAGGTAATTAGGAGAACAGTTTAAGAGATATATTTAGTAAAAAAAAACAATTATCGACGACAACATAAAACTAATTTTTCTATTTCTCGGGAACTGTATTTTTTCCTGGATAAAAGGTACCCCATGTACCCGTGAGAATGTGTGTACAAAATTGTCAAATCGTAATTATTGATAAAACAGTTTGAATAAAAATAAATAAAAGTAAAACAAAAATACTGGTATGCAAGGAAAGAAAAAGTAGGGAAAGGGCGAATATAAAGATAGGAGACGCAAAATTAGAAGAAGTGGCCGATTTTAGATACCTAGGAAGTCAGATAAGTCAGAACGGAATGAATAGTAGGGATATAAAACAGAGGATACCACAGGGTCCAGTCGCCTTCAATAAAAAAAGGTCACTTCTATAATCGCGAACGATTAATTTAGAAATTTGAAAAAGGTTTTTAAATGTGTATGTTTGGAGCGCGGCGTTTTACGGATGCGGAACATGTACGGAGGATGAGGCTGAAAAAAGGTTAGAAGTGTTCGAAATCTAGTCTTACCGGCGAATAATATGAGGATACCGTGGATAGAGAAGGTTAAAAATGAAGAGGTATTAGAAAGAATATGAGAACATATGACTCTATTGAAGCCAATAGAAAATAGGCGAGATAGGTTGGTAGGACACCTTCTCATATTAAAGGCAGAAACAGGAGTTAAGAGGGGTAGAGGTAGACCTACATTAGATTACTGTTCGCAAATAGTTAAGGATGTGGATTGTTCTAGTTTTGGGAGAATAATAAGAAGCTCAGGATAGCAAAGAGTAGAGGTACGTGTCCAACCAGTGTTAGGACTGAAGATTTATGATGATGATTGATTAAATTAAAATAGGTATTTAGTGTACAAAATTGAATTAATATTAAGAATTTTAAGGAACCAATTAGTTTACTGTATGACTTTTTAGTTAGTTGCTGATTTTACTATACACAACCCGATCTGACTCAACATTATAATATAATCATCATCACCGTACGGTCGCCAGTCCTAAAACTTATTGGACATGCACCTCCACTTTTTCCTATTCTGAGCTAATCTCCGCATTTTCCTAAAACTAAAACATCCTTAATTTATTGTGTACAGTAATCTAACCTAGATCTACCTCTATTTCTCCTAATTCCTGTTCTGGTTTCTAATATATTTTCAACTAGCCCTTCAAGCCTAATTTAATTACATATTACCAATGGGTCGTTAAAAAATATTTTCTGACCCGTGTTTGTAAAATTAAATCCGTTTCCAACATAGCAACAAAACATCTATCGAACATATTAACAGACGGTATATAGAAACCTCTCGACAAAGGAAATTCAGTTGCTGCACTTTTCCAAATGATTATTTGATCTGCCCCGTATTTTGTAGTAAATCTTTTGTGCTAATAGTTTGTTTCCCTTTCACAACTCCCCTTCCATTTATCCTCTAATCCGGACAGCACACTAATACTAGACACATTTAGTTAGGTACATACAACGTTTGCTTTCTTAGTTGTGCATAATAGCTTTTGATATCAAACAATACGATGCAATCTGGAAACGGAACGTGCAGCAGGAAGGCATTGAAATCGAAGAGAACCCGTCAGAATCACTATTTGTCAACTCGTCCTTCAAACGCCGAAACACAAAGCAAACAGTTTAATCACTATCGATCGGATAGTGGATGAGCTTCCTATTTGGAATGCGACAGTCGGCTGTTGTTGTTTTCGCGTTAGATTTAATGCCATTTGGACACACTGCAATTGTCCATCACATGACATGCTGTGGTTATCATGCGGTTAACAAGACAAAGCACTCGGTTCTCCTGTGTATGTCCGTGATTAATTTTCGCAAACATCTAATCTCTCCTACTAAATACGGATTGCGGAAACTCGGTGTTAGAAGGATAATTAATGATTTGTAATCGTATGTCGCGATAAAACAATAAAAAGAGAAGTATATCTCCGTAACTAAAAGCTTGGTAAAGGTCTAGATGGGGGTTAGACCACCACGAACTTTTTATGGTACAGTAGTGGGGGAGACCTCCTCTTTCGATCCCACCCACCCGCACCCCTTTCGGGCGTGGAGGCCATCATCTAGACATTTAACAAAAGCTTTACCGTGTAACCGTATTTTCAATTGATGAACAAAATTAGTCTCCGTCTTGAATTTTGAATGCAAGACCAAGACTAAGGCCAAGACTGTCTTTATAAGACTAAGACTAAAACCAAGACCGAATATGCAAGACCAAGACCAAATGGGCAAGACTTAACGAAATGTTATTACTTCCGGTGGATCAGCACTTTACAACACTTCACATTTTATACAAGCAATAAACTTAAATGTATAGATACACTAAAAGTTTACACCAAGTTATTTAAATTCCAAAGGTTTTCTACTTTTGTTAAGTTAATGTAGTTCTAGAGAAAACTTTCCGTCTGCCTGAGAATTAAGCCGTCAACTATTGTTGCCATTTTTTTTTAAAGTAGGTACGATAACACAGGTAAGTAGAGATCTTGGATTTTTGAGAACAATGGACACAATAAAGAAACATGAAAATACCATTACCATTTAACATCAATGTAAAAGCAACAATTGTAGGGATGCAAGTGCTACTAGGACACAGTGTAATAAGAAAATGCTATTTAATTTATGGCCCCTTTCTAATAAATATTCTTCCATTAGTAGTAAATACTTTTCTATTTATCGTTTATTTGTTTCCTAGAATCTAAGTGAATTGAAAGTCACAAACAACAATGACAACCTATTGACAAGAACGAAATTACTGCGCCTTAGGCCCTATTGCATACGAATTTAGTGAAAAGGAAACGTATGGAGGAAACAATGACAACTGAAGGATTTACATTTTATCTTGGAGTGGACAAATGCGAAATTGTGGGAAATTAAACAACTTTTGAAATCTCTAGTGTGTTTTTAGTATCTATATAAAGTACTATTTAGACCATTTATATAGGATCTATCTCGTGAAAAATAAAATCGTTGAGTGACAGATCTGACGGTCGATTGGGCTCAACGGTCAAAAGTTGCTAGGCCTCTTACTCTAGGTCACAAGTAAATGCAAATTTGGGAATGATTTCGGGTAAATACGTACACAGAACGAATCTTTTTTCGCTCGGAAAAATCATTTGCCTAAAATTCATTACCGTTACCATCTGGTTATTTTCAAGAATTAATAAAGAAATTTGGTCTAAAAATTATCCTTGGTGAGGAAACAGAAAACTATTTAAAATTATTTTGTTCTGGTAACTTTACCATAAATACATTAAGTACATAATTTTATTGAAAAATTTCCATTTATCTGTGAAAAACCCCTATTTTGGTATTTTAAAGCAACATTTAGAAATAAAAGATAAGTGTTGTAAAAGCTTACGTTTTCCTAATGTAGAACATACAACTTTTATTGTATGTACAACAGGTGAACTCTTTTTCCTACCAGGGAAGTAGGCAAAACGTTTGTCATGACTAATATGATGTGTTTATGTCATACGTTCCGTTTCATTTGCTATTGTAGTATCAAAAATATCAATAATTAATAGCAACAAAAAAAATGGTCTAGGGGTCTGACTATGTATATATGTTTTTGGGGTCGCTGAAGTTACATCCTAGGTCAATTCAACCCCAACACGTCAGGGTTTGGATATAACCTCAAAAAACGTTTCAAAATCAACTGAAACCTTTAATCGTGATAATTCTCAAACGATTTTAAATCTAAAACCCGTAACCAATCAACCGTTCTACTAAATATATAACATCATAATCCTTTAAACTCTTAATCCCTTAACCCAATAAATTCGTAATAAAAATATTAAAACTGTATTGCTTTATCTCTCACCATACGGATTTTAGCTTTAAAATCGTTTGAGATTATCATGATTTGAGATTATCTCCAAACCTTGATGTGCTGAAGTTAAATTAAACGCGGATTTAGAGTCAGCAATTCCAAAAATACACAGTTCACACGCAATCATATAAAAATGCGATAATTTTTTAAAAGCACTATACCCATCGTCTTATTTGATGTTGTACATTATCTTCGGTACATAAATAAAACAGTCATTTATATTGTGTGTTTTTGAATAATTCAGAAACGACTTGTATCTGCTTGCACATTCCTGTGTATAATAAAGAGAACAAATTTTAAGATGTTGACTACCAAATTGATTATGCCCAGTGTTTTAAAGAATAATCTTTACCTTTCAGTTTCTTCTGAGGCGCTAATTTAACAAATTATATAGAAGCAAAAAAACCTGAAAGAATGAACGCGCTCATCACCGACGTACTACATGCTTTCACAAAAATCTGATTAATTACGGCAATATTTCTCAAAAGTACCGTCGAATTTTTCAACATAATTGCACGCAATTAATTATCCATTTCCCATTTCGCAAAAAACCCATGACATAACGTTCTTCTGATGATTTTATTAATGATTTGCGGCATCTCGGAAATGGACAGAGTAACATTCGCGAAATTATTTACGTATTCACAATATTCTCCAACCGCCATATGAGAACCCATACATTTTTCACTCTCATCATCACTTTTATAAACAGTTTGTACAAAAACCCCCAAATCTTCTAGAATCATTCTATTGAAATCATCAACAATTAAAATTAATAACATTTCTTAGTCGTTATTTACATAAAAGTACCTATATAATTTTATTGAGTAACATAAATATGAAATATAAAAAAGCTCAAAATTATTTCGACAAATTATTGCCTACAAATTACACCTGAAATTATCGTTGATTTTTTTATTGACGTGACAACGTCTTATAATTCGATGGAGCCGGCTGCACG